ATTTAAATACAAAATTACTTTCCAAAAAACTTGTAATAATCATATTTATTCTCATACTTACAATTTAACCAACAATGGATGCCATTAATTTTTAGTTTTGCTAAACCAATGAATGTATTATCTGTTATCTTAACTTTATTTTTTGAGAACTGATAATAATCTGTTCCTATGTTTTTGTCTGGACTTATTTCAGTGAAATACATGCTTTTTTTCTTGGACTTTTTAAATAAAAGATGGACTACCTACATTTCTTATTATCTTAGGAGGACAATGTATGTTAGAGGGATCAATTCCTTACTTAATACTTGTTTGCAATCATTTTTTTCTTAACCTGTAAATTTTGTTTTGATTTCATTATAACTTTTTCCCCAATATATGTTTTTTATATTTATGTAATTAAATGTATATATTTTTCATTTTATTGTTTCTTGTATCTTAGGGCAAACCAAGATAAGAAGTCTCTTCAAATTTTAATTTTTCTATTTTCTTTTAGCCTTCTTTACATTTTTCACATCTTTAACTCATCAAGAAATTATATGTACATAATATATAGTATGGTCTAATCTATTATTTTGTCAATGTAAATGATGCTTAGCACAATTTATAGAACAATGGATCCATACCCTATGAATTTTCTTTAGTTCCTATATAGGATTTAATATTTCTAGATTTAATTCTGTTCCATTGATAAATATATCTATTTCTGTGCCCTCCCTCTGACGTCATGATTATCCTAGCTTTTTACTATGTTTTAATATTTGCTAGGCCAAGTCTTAACTTGTTATTTTTGTTATCAAAACCTTCTTAGAAATGTTTGCCTTTCTATTCTTTTATGAACTTCATGATAATTTTAGTTATTCCAAAGATACTTTTTATTTCATTTGGATTCTGTTGTGTGAATATCATTTTTACTGGAAATATTTGTATTTAAAAACTGCAAACATGAGTGCTTAAATTCTCTATTTGATTGAACCAAACCAAAAGTAAACTAAACAGTAAAGAAAAGTATGTTGTGTCTCAGAGTGCTCCAGGAAATAAGTACAAACCAAGAAACATAAACTTTTGAAAGGAAAGGTAGAACTTGAAAATGCTAGTCAGAATAAAATTAATAACAGGTGTAGTTTATTTACTGCTTATTGATAAAACTATTGTACAAGCTACATGGATTATTCTCTCATTCATATAAGAATATCACAAAGTACATATTAACTAGGATGACTAGTTAGGCATATTTGTGGTCAAGCAAGCTCATAGTGCATGTTTTGGGAAAGAAGAGATCAAATTTCCTTATTTGTTTTCACGCTATAAAATGGGTGAGTAGCACTACATTGAATGGCTCACGTCAGAAGAAATCTCAAGTTTACAGTCTTGTTCTAATAGTGATAGTAGAATAATTACAACATAGACAATTGGAGAAGAAAGTACCTTTTATCAACTCTACATCCCTGGTAATTGGTAAGCAGCGAATGTGGAGAAACATCTGTTAAGGTATCTCTAGAAATTGTACCTATCCATGAAAATGAAACATAATAAAATCAAACCAATTCTCAGAAACAAAGTAAAATTGTCCAAAATGTTTAGGTGGTGAAACTTTAAAAATACTGAAACATTTCCAAAAAAAGCTCTGAAATACTTATTAGATAGAAGAGATATTTATATAGTTAGGTTTGAAGACAGAAATCTTGCCTGAAGTTGTAGAAAAAAAAAAAAGAGAAATTTCAAACACCATCACAACAAAAACTCTTTTTAATCTGGTACCTTTATTATTTTTTCTTAGTTTTTTTTCTCATGATCCAATATATTCCTAAATCTTGGATGCTCTTTTTCAAAACTGCTTCTGCCAGTCTTTCTAACTCTGAAATGTCTGGTCTATTACTGAGTTTGACACTTTTGAAGAGTAAATGATGTATGCAAAATTCAGAAGTATTGAGATTTTGTTTGAATTACCAGCATTTATTTGCAGACAGGAAGAAAATGTGATATTTATACAGCTACCTTAAGTTCAAAGACATATGCACATGACTTAGAACTTTGTTACTTCTGAACCCAGAGAAAAATTAAATGAATTAACTATAAAACATTTAATAGTAAATCTATGTATTACAAAGTATATAGATTATAGTAGTATCCAATTTTAATTTCAGCATATCCCCATAATGTGTAATATAGAGAAAAGCTGAAGAAATATAAATGAAAAAAAAAGGTGTCAAAGGATGAAATATAAGGGTTTATTTTGAAAGTGAGAGTGAATTAGCTGTCATATATCACTATGTTTCTATTAGACTATCTTTCCATTGAACACATCTGGCTGACTGAGTGGACATTCTCTTCTTTCAGCTTCCTCTGTGGTTCTCTAAAAGCTATGTATATGGGAAGAAATGACAATATTTCATATAATTTCTAATTACTGAAGTAGCATGTCATTTTAGAAACAATAAAACACAACTATGGTTTTTTTTAACAAACAAAAATACACATTAGAAATATTGCCCAGTGTCCATAAGGCCCAGGAGTAATAGAAATCCTGTCTAAGCCCCTTCCTGTCTGAGCCTCCTTCCACCATCCTCATTGCTTTGTTTACCTGTCTCCTATAATTTTCTTGTTTTTTACTTCCTTCTTGACTACTTATTTTTTTGCTCTTATAACTGATGCATTATCTATGTTTAGCCAATTGTTGGACCACCTCTATAGTTTATAATCATGTCTTCCTATTCCAAATGTAGAATATTACTTACCTTACTTTACCTACCTTGCCAAACTCCTGTCTTCCATTTTCTGGACCCTCTAGATACCAGGGCTCTCTGTTCTAGACACTCTTTCCAGGAACTTGAATTTATGTTGCCTTCCTGCTCTACCTCAGACCCTACCAAATGATCCACAAATGCATTTGAGAATAGAGTCAATGACTTCCTTCACACTTGAAATGATCACAACTTCATGGAGTTTTCATTATGTAAAAACAACAACAACAATAATAATTTTATTATTCAAGATCTTCTACAGTGTCTAGGATTTGTCTTTCAGAACTCATTAATTAATATTATTTGATGAAAATATGCTGATACAGTTGTCTGTATCACAACAAAAAAGTGCTATTTAAGAATAAATATTTTGTAATATTAAATGCAAATAACCACTTTCTCAAGAAATTGCTGCTAGATTTTAATAAGTTAGTTGTATATTGCCTTGGGTTTCACTATATTTTCATACATTTGATAAGTTCAGAACTATTTCAAATAGCAAGTCCATTTACCTGTTCTAATTTTTTGTCTAACCAGAAGTAATTGATTTCAAATATTTCTTATGTGTCCTATTTGTAGTGTTAAAAAAAAAAGACTAATGTTGAGCTTTAAAGAGGTATTTTGCTATTGATATTTCTCCACTGGCAAATCTCTTATTTAAGTAGAAATAATCATTTTGGTTTATATAGTATTATATTATCAAATGTAATGAAAGGAGTCTATTTACAATTTTTAGATCACAATCTTGGTAATGAGTGTGAATTTTGCCAATCACGTAAGATTTATATCTAAAATGTAGCTTAGGTTTTTTAGGTATTATTTTACTAAATATTTAACTCTTGAGAAACATTAATCATGTGTTTGACTTCAGAAATGCTTTCCATATTTCCATCACATTTGTTAATAAAATGAAGTCTTGACAAATTAAAATTTTTGCAGGTTAGAAATTATCAAAGAAAACACAACATACAAAACCATAAATGGTAATATTCTCCAAAATCTTAAGTCAAATGATATGATACCATTAAGAAGCTCTTCTCATTAGAAAAATATTTTATCTAATGAAATCTCAAAAGATATCTTAGAAAGCCAGCTGACTACTGCTTACTAATTTGTTGTAGAAACAAAGAATAGTAGAAATAAGAATAGCAATGATTCACCTTTTCATCAAACAAAAACCTCCTTATTACATTGAGTTTTAAATCAGCAGAAGTGTACTGAACTGTACAGATGGTAGGATTGGACTGAATGTTAGACCAAATGCACTGATGGTTCCTGACAACAGTGCATGGGTAGTGCTGAAAGGTGACAGTGTAAGCAGAAGGAGTCTCTCTTTTCCAGTCTGCTCTTCCTCTCCTCTGCTCCAACCTCATCTAGCCTGACATTTGACGGTTGGCAGATACATCATCCGAAGGAAAGGGGCCAAATCTTTTATTTGAATCAGCACATAGAAATTGCCTCAATTTAATGCCCATGACAAATTTGTTTAAATTTTCTATTTCTTAGATTATGTGAAAATGTTTATTAAAATCAAATGGAAATTTGGGTAAGTTATTAGATTCCTTCTTTTGTGGAACTTTCTTACAGGTGTAAACTATAACAGTACATTTCTTTTAGTTGAAAAAAAAGTACCTTGTTGGGAAAATAAGACCTTGAGACTTACTACCTTATTTGTGCTTTTGTCTTATGAACAATTCATAAATGTAATATTTTTAGCATGTGTTTAGTATTGGAGATAATTGACTTTTTGTACTGAGAGTGGAGACTAACAATTTGTGGCCAAATAATATAGTGTTATGCATTTGGGCCATATCATATCCATTTTAGAATGAGAGGAGGCTGGCTCACTCCTGTAATTCCAACACTTTGGGAGGCCAAGGTGGGCAGAACAGGGGGTCAGGAGTTCAAGACCAGCTTGGCCAAAATAGTGAAATCCCATCTCTACTAAAAATACAAAAAATCAGCCTGGTGTGATGGCAGCTTCCTGTAATCCCAGCTACTCAGGAGGCTGAGGCAGGAGAATCACTTGAACTGGGAGGCAGAGGTTGCAGTGAGCCAAGATTGCACCATTGCACTCCAGCCTGGGTGACAATGGAAGACTCCATCTTAAAAAAAAAAAAAAGAATGAGAGGAGGCTGTTGCCAAGAAGAAGCAAAAACAAAACCCAGAAGTAAGCTCTCTAAATGTATAAATGTAAGTGCTCCTATAAAATTTTTATTCATTTATTCAACAAAATTTTATTTAGCATACATACCCTGTTTAGTTTGCTGGATACAACAGGGATTAGAGAGTCAGTCCTTCTTCCAAGAGACTTATAGTAAAATAGGAACAGTGGAGGCTATCTTCCACTTTATTTCTCTGTAACAGTAAAGAAAATTTCAAAAATAAATTTCTAAAAATAGAGAATTTATATTATCATACAAATTATTTAATATCTAGAGATAAATCTAATACCTATGTCATTTTACCAAAAACTACATGTTATTGAGATAAAAAATATTTAAGTAATAGGATAGATATGTAACATGTTCACAGCTTAAACACAGTATTTTTAAGGTAAATTCTTCCTACATTTATCTATAGATTCATTACACTCTTAATCAAAATCTCTTCATTTACATTAATTGTTAGCCAACTCACTCTTGGATCTATACTCCAGAAACACCTGTGTACAGATAATAAGGGAAGGCGTGTGGAGATGCTTATCACAGCAGTATTTGTGGTAGAATTTGACAGCAATGTAGGTGCTCATTACAAAAATAAAAAGTGAAAACAGATGGATAAATTATTTAGAACAAAGTACATAATTTTAAGATAATAAATTAGTAATATATTCAACGACATGGATAAATCTTAAAATGTTAGCGAGATAAGTAAAACAACCAAAATGAATGCTATAGAATAAACTCATAGCACAATACATTTTTTCTGCATTTAAAGAATATACATACAGACGCCACATATTTCTCAAAATTACAAACATTTAAAAGATATATGTGAGTAAATGCCTGTTTTAACAATAGAAATAGAGATTTTCTCAGATATGTAGATGGAAATGAATTGAAATAGAGAACAGCTTCGCAAACATTAAGGATAACCATGTACCATGAATAAAAGAGTATCTTCTATTCATGGCACATTAAGTTCTCTTCAACTCTGTTCATCAGAAAATATATACATAAATATAATATAAATTATTGAAAAACAGAAGGAGTCATCAGTTAGGTCTACTCTTCTCGTAAAACTGACAAACATTAAAGAAAAAAGATGTTTTCTGAATTTGGCATTATAGAGTTATGTAATGATCTCAACAAGAACATTTTCATTAAAGTGGGAAGGATACCACAACTCAAGTTGTAGGTGCCCTCTAGCCCCCCAAATTCACATCTGTCCCATGTGCAGAATACATTCACACCATCCCAACATCCCCAATATCTCAACTCATTACAGCATCAGCTCCAAGTCCAAAATTTCATCTAAATATCATCAGTTTTAGAAGTTTCATAACTTGTATTTTAAAGCCATCTAAATCAGGTATAGGTGAGACTTGGGGTATAACCAACCCTGGAGCAAAGTCATTCTTCATTTGCGAATCTGTGAAACCAAAACACACGTTACCTTCTTCAAAAATGCGGGCTGGGCACAGTGGCTCATGCCTGTAATCCCAGCACTTTGGGAGCCTAAGGCAGGTGAATCACGAGGTCAAGAGATCAAGGCCATCCTGGCCAACATAGTGACTCGAGACCATCCTGGCCAACAGAGCGAAACCCCGTCTCTGCTAAAATACAAAAATTAGCTGGACATGGTGGCGTGTGCCTGTAGTCCCAGCTTCTCAGGAGGCTGAGGCAGGAGAATTGCTTGAACCCGGGAGGCGGAGGTTGCAGTGAGCCAGGATCGCACCACTGCACTCCAGCCTGGCGCCTGGAGCCTGGGAACAGAGCAAGACTGTCTAAAAAAAAAAAAAAAAAAAATTCCATGGTGGAACAAACATTGAATAGGCATTCCAATTCCAAAAGGAAAACATTGGAAGGGAAAAGAGGTTACTGAGAAAGTTTGAAATCCAGCAAGGAATGCTCCAAGGTTTCAAGGCATGAGAATAATTCCTCTGTGGCTCAAGGCTCCACCCTCTTGGCTCACAGCAACTCTGTCTTCTGCATCTGTCCCTTCTTGCCTCTTCCTCAGCCCCAGTGACTTCTGCTCCATCCCTGTCAGACGTGGCCTCTGCACTGGCAACATCAGACCCACAAGCCTAGATGGCTTATGTTCACAGCAGTTCTGCCATTGGAATCATTCATTCACTATTTTTTTTTTTTTTTTTTGAAGGACAGCTTATGTTTGTAGCTAAGGAGCTCTGTTAGTTCACTCCTGCTTGTACAGTCCCAGAAATCTGACAGCCTTCCTTTACTTCATCCCGACTCTGTCTCCTTCAGCTCAAATGCACAGTGCTTCTCCTGATGCAACATTCTTACAAACCTTATGGATCTCCTTTATATTTCACAGAGATACATGCCACTTAACAAGAGGGTCCTTCACAGATCGTTTCTGAATCACCTATCCTATTCCAGGAGTCTACTGAGACGACTGAGTGAATACAGGAATCACATATCCATTCTCTTCAGCAAATGTTTTCTAGCTACACCTTTGGCCCTCTCTATAGAGCACACTTTTCAACAGTCAATAACTTAACTTTGGCCTCTTTTACCATCTGGACAGATCAAGAATGTCCCAGATCATGCGGCGCTGGTTCCGCTTCTTAACATTTCTCCCTCAATTTCCTCCTTTCATCTTACATTTTGCTAGAGGCAGTAAAGAGAAACTAGGCTTCATTTTTATTGTCAATACTGCTTGAGAGCTACTTGGCAAAATATTCAGTTCTGTTGCTTACAGCTTCTGCATTCCACTCGGCAGCAGAGAGCAACTGATCTGCTTTCTTCCGCTTAATAGCAAGGATCACCTTACCTCTAATTTCCAAATATGGTTTTCTTATTTCTTTCTAAGACCTCTCTCCAGCAATGTCTTTAAATTCTACATTACTACCTACACCCTAGTCAAGGTGATCTAGGCTTTTTCTATCATATGCCTCGAAATTCTTCCAGCCTCTACCCATTAGCCAATTCCAAAGCACTTCCATACTTTCCGATATTTGTTACGGAAGCATGCAACTTTCTGGTACCGAAATCTGTGTTACTTTCCCAGGGTCGTCATAAGAAATTACTACATACTTCATGGTCTAAAATAACATATATTTAATTTCTCACAATTCTGGAGACCAGAAGCCTGAAATCAAGGTGTTGACAGAGCCATGCTTCCTCTGAATACTATAGGGGACTTTCCTTCCTTGCCTTTTCCAGCTCCTGGTGGCTCTAGGAGTTCCTTGGCTTGGGGCTGCACAACTTCAATCTTTGCTTTCTTCTTTGCATACCCTTCTCTCCTGTGTCCCTCATGTTCTTTGGACAAGTCATTAAACTTAGGCCTCACTCTAATCCATGATTATCTCATCTCAAATTTTTTTTATCTCCAAAGTTGCTTTTTCCAAAAATTGTGACATTCACAGAAGCCGAGACATAAACTCTATGTTTGTTTGCTTATAAGCAGAGAGGCCATCTTTTAAACGACTACACATGTTTTTCAATTAAACATTTTAATTTGGAAGTCACATTGAGGGCAAAGACTATGTTTCCTTTTCAACTTTGTGTTGCTGTGTATTTTGCAGCATCTCTGCAGTCAATGAATACTTAATAATAATTGTAAGAATCAAAAGTATATTTTGAAACAATAATTAAGACTTTTAGAAGTTTGCTAAATAAGTTAAGCTAATTTTTAAAAATAAGCCATTGTGTAATAGTATTTAAACTATGAGTATCAGTAGGACTTTTGTATCAGTAGAATACCATGGTTTCATAGTATTTAAACTATGAGTCCAGATTCTGCTTACAAGATAGGTAATTGTCCCATTTAGCAAAATTCTAATTGTATGAGAAAGAAATGGCCCTGTGTATTAGGTTAAATATGTGAATATAATATTAAAACTTTGGCTCTAACTATTGCTAATCACAGATAGATATTGCTTTATAAGCCTACATTGAAATTAGCTCAGTTTACCACCATGGTCAATTATATAGCCAAATACATTCTTGATGGGACTTGGGTAATGGGCCATCATTCTTTCAAGAAAAAATTGTTTCCTATTCCTGTGATTTGATAATAAGCAATAAACATGTAATATATCAATTTACAAAGTCAATTACATAATCAAGAGGAGTGCCAACAGCACTAACCAAAACACTCTGTACTGTATTTACTTTCATATTCTCCGCCTTCCCTAAGGCACCAGGCCTGGCATTTTTCCTACTTTCTCAATTTTCTTTGCATAATTTTCCACTTGGTGGACTGCCATCGTCAACAGTTAACACTCTTCAACTTCTGCAGCTTGGTAAGAGCAGTTGAAGAGATGAGAACTGTGTTTAATTAAATCCTGGTTGTCAAATGTAAATGCAAAAGTGCTTAGTTATTCAACATTGCTGGTGATGAAAGTCAGAAAAAAAGGCTCCAGGAAAAGTTTGGTATATCATGATCTTTCAGATACAATCCTGGAAAGTATCAATTTTCTCTTTACTTCCTTTAAATGAAGGAAAAAAATAGATTTTTAAAGGAAAGCAGATGAACACATACATAACCCGCAAAATACCTCGCTGAATAATTCTAGCTGCTGAAAAAGATACATATAGAAATAGATTATGTCGTCTTATAATTATGTGTAGGCTGTTTCATGAAAACATCTACAGACTTTGCGATTCATGTATATTTAAGGGGCATCTTTAAGTAAAAGTAAAAGAAGAAAGGAAGATAGAATTTGGGGACGAGAAACAATTCTACTTCAAAGTTTGATTTTATGTTTCTTTCAAAGCTTTAGTTTATAGGGCATCATTTAAATATTATAGATTTAAAAGTGCTGGGATTAATTAGTTCAATAAATTTAATGTAATTTTAGTCACTATACTAACTCCTAAAGTATTTTTGAGTAAATATGAGTCAAACCTCTCTCTAAAAGAATACCTACCAAGTTATTTTTTAAAAGCATGGATATATTAGGCATCTACCATAGACTTACAGACCTATTCCTTAAATATGCATGTAAATATAAATGACATAAAGTTCTTCTGGTAAATGTTCACATTTTTACACTGCATTGTATGTGAACTCTTTGTTTCTTTGATTAGTTTTTATTACAATATTGATGATAACATTTGGATAAGGTGGCATGTTCAGTTTTAACATAGAATAGCTAAACAGAAATAGATTAAATTTTATACAGATGTGGTTATCCCCAGATGTGAATATAGGAAAAACTTAGTTTTGTCTCTGGGTATTTATTTGCCATATAAATCTACTAGCACATTCTTATCTGTTATGTAAATAAGATGTGGAATTCCAAGAGTGTATCAGTGTTCTGCAGCAGATGGTACACTGAGATTTACCACACCATTACATTTAATGGGTTTGAATTCATTTGGATTTCTTGATGTTCTCTCTGTCCTTCTCATAGCAGCAATGTTGCCAATGTTCCTGATTATATATGATTTGAGAGAGTGCTTAAAGAAGAAAAACTCCTTTATCTTAGAAATATGAGTATTTTATGTCAAAGTTTAAAGTGTATATGTATTG